TTGCACGATCAAATGCCCACATGGAATTTAGGTTGGCCCATTTGTTCGTCACAAATTCCCCTCTCAAAAGATATATTATGTATAATCTCATTTGGTATGATATTTTTCACTTTTAAACACAAAATAATAAGACTCACGTTAATAATGTAGATAATACCCACTTACTTATATGTAGAAGTGAGAAAATAGATTATATCTAACAAATAAAATACAAATTTAGGCATTGTTTGGGACGTAATAGTTTTAGTTTAAAAGTCAAAAAGTTACTAGTAAAAAAAATCAAAAAGTCTATAACCTATACCAAAAATTAAAAGATTTATTTTTCTCTCTATTTTTTGCATATCTTTTCGTAAAAATTAAAAAGTCATTTCAAAATTATTCTTTTTATTTACCCTCATATTTTAGTTAAAAAATTTAAAAATTACTAAAATAATTTATTTCTAAATGAGGCTTTATTATTTGCGAAATCGCCATTAGTGTAAAATATTTGAATGGGGTAAACATGGAAATTCACAGACCACGATAATAGTGGTTGGAAATGTTTTTTTTTCTTTTTTTTTCTTTTGTTTTTTCAATGGGTGGAACGCTAGTGGTGGTTGGAAAGGTTGGCGCGGAGGACAGACTGTGAGGAAGGTGTGGAAAATATATTATATACATTTACACATAGACTCAACCGTTAGATATATATATTTAGGGAGATTTATTTATAAGTCTTTTTTAGACGTTTATATTGGGTTAAGTTTTGTATAATTTTTTATAGAGTATCAAGTTCTATTTAGATAGGAATATATTCTATAAGATCCTACATAAACGTAATGTGACATGATACATATATAAACGTAATGTGACACTTACATAAACGTAACGTAACGTGTCACGTTATGTTTCACAAACTAAATGAGTTTTTAGTTTTTTAAATTGAATGTGAAATGTTGCTGGTTTATTTTGGTGTCATGTTACGTTTCATATAAATATGATCTATGGCAACATTCAATTAGGAAATTGAATGTTGCCATAGATCATAGGTGTCACGTTACGTTTATGTAGTTGTCACGTTACGTTTATGTAGTTATCACGTTACGTTACGTTTATATAGATATAATCTATGGTAAAATTCAATTTCCTATATAAGAAATTGAATGTTGTTATAGATCATAAGTGTTACGTTACGTTTATGTAGGTGTCACGTTACGTTACGTTTATATAAATATGATCTATGGTAACATTCAATTTCTTATATATTGTTTTACTATTATTTATGATATTAACAACTAATATTGAGGGTAAATGTGTCAACAAACTTCTCAGAGGACTTATGGGAACATAAGTTTTTTAGTAGGACCATATGTAACATAAGTCTCCCTAATATGACTTATAAATAATTTTTCCATATATTTATAATAACGCAACAATGCTAAAAATTCATATTTTATATATATAAATGTATTTAGAATGATATGATAAAAGTGGTGCATCTTATATAATCAAGTGTATAATTATAATTGTTTTGAGAAGTGAATTAAAAGTTAAAGTTTAGATTTTTTATATATTTTTTAAAAAATATGTTAAAAAAATAGATAAATAATATAGCCCAAAAGAGGTTAAAAATTAAAAAATTACTTTTAACCTCATCTCCAAAAGAGATCTCAATCAAAAAATGACACTTTGTCAAATCATATTATTGTCTTTGTTTGGGAACAAATTTTTTAAGTGATTTTTTTAACTTTTTGATTAAAGTATGATATAAAAAATGTTAATATTTTTGAGATAATTTTTTAATTTTTTACGAAAAGATTTACAAAACGTAGAGAGAAAATAAATTTTTTGACTTTTTAATATAAATTGTTGGATTTTTATTTTATTTTTATTTTTTTTGTGATTTATGACTTTTAAACTAAAAATTGATATTATCAAACGAGACATTAAATTGTAAATTTCTTTTAAGAATTTCAAAATTTTCATAGGCCCTGTTTGATTGGGGTGTAAAACAAACATGCATAACATATATCCAATCTTATATATCAAGTCAACAAACATGACTTGGGGGATATACTATCCAATATTTATATCCTATTCATTATATATCCTGACTAAATCTCACATCATATTATATCCTCCATTTTATATCCAACGAAACAAACAGGGCAATAGTACATATAATATATAATTGTGTGTGTATATTGTACATATATACAAGCACGACTTTGATCAGATTAGTAGATGGAGACGTTTCACTGACCCCCATCAACTTATTGATCTCCTCCATATTAGATGGATGATGGATTTCCGTAATTTTCAACTTCAATCCCTATATTTTTTGCTTGATCACAAAATTGCTACTTTTACTGAGTTTTACTTTTTATTTGTAGTTTTTGTCATGTGATATGATATTATGGGGATAATAAGTTATATTACAATGATTTTTTTTTTTTAAATTTACTCTTATAAATGCTAATTTAACAACTAACAATTAATATTTGCAGATCAAAAAAAAATTACAATGAAATAATTACAGTTGCTCTACCGACTCGAATTCTAAACTTTTAACTCTCTTACTGTCACAAAATTGATAGTTTAACAACTCTTAAGAAAATATGTTACAAATTAACAAAATTTACAATTTTTTGTACTTACCTTATAATACAATAAAATAGAAAAAATTATTATGGGGCTTCAAGAATTCCAATATATATATACATATAAATTTTGAATGAGTATTTCAAAAGGTACTCAAAACAAAATAAATAGTAGAGATTTAGGTTGCATTTGGTAGAATTTTGTAAATATGATTTGAGAATATGAGTTGTATTTTAAGTTTGTGTGTTGTGAAATTATGATTTAAGTGTAGAAAATTTTTTGATTATAGTTTTTGAATAGAGTGTTGAATTGAGTTTTAAATTGAGTGCGGAATTAAGTTTTGAATTGAGTGTGAAATTAAGTTTTGAAAGTTTGATTTGATATGTGAAGTAAAAAAATTTATTTAGTTATGAGTTTTGGAAAGAGCTTTCAAAACTTAATTCAAATTGTTATAACTCATAACAAAACACACTACTTTCACACTATTAAAAATTCTGATCAACACTTATAATCAAACTCTTTTTTAAATTCAATTAAATTTTTTTATTATTAACAGAAAATAACATTAATCAATTTTTTAATTGAAAATACTACAAAGGAAATAATTTTTTTTTCAAAATAAATATTCACAAAATTTAAATCATAAATATTTAAATAATCTAAAAAATTTAATAAGTAAAAAATTAAAATAAATATTCAAAAAATTTAAATCGTAAAAATTTAAATAATGTAAAATGTTAATATTTTAAATTTTAAAATAACTCTATACTCAAATCGTAACTAAACACATAAAACAAAACTCAATTAAGAAATTATTTTTAAAACTTATAACCAAACATATAACTCGAAACTCCATAATACTTTCACAACTCTATACTCAAATTGTAACCAAATACATAACAAAAAAAATTAAAATATTTAAAAATATTTTTATAAAATAGAGTTTGAATTTATTTTTATAAAATATTTTAAAATTTAAAAAATTAAAATCGTAGTATTTTGAAATTAAAATATTTTAAAATATTCAAAAAATTAAAAAATTAAAAAAATCGTAACATATTTAAATATTAAAATATTTAAAATCTTAACAAAATTAAAATGTTTTTAAAATATTTAAAAAATTAAAATATTGATTCGAATTGAGTTTTGAAAAGAGTTTTGAATTATGTGTTTGGTTATGAGTTTTGAAAAGTAATAATTATGTTTTGAATTGAGTTATGAGAAATAGATGTAGAATTATGATTTAAAAACTCAAAACAAACAACATACTCAAATCCATAGGTGGAACTATAATTTTAAATTTGGTGTTGTGTCAGTTCCACTCACAATTTTATTTATAAAATATTTTTTAAAATACATTTTCTCTCCATATGTAAAATTATTCAAAAAAGTTAACAAAATAAAAAATTTAATTAATATAATATGTAGTACATTAAAAATGAATCTGATGCAGATATCTACACCACATTAACCATAAAATCCATTTCTTAACAAATTTTCCATTACAATATTTACTATGTTTGGTTTCAATTTTTAGATATCATTTTTCAGAGAATTTTACTTTTTTATTTTTTATATTTTTTTTGTTTTCACTAATTTTTTTAATATTTTAAGTAATTTTTTTTAATTTTTAGACGTACCTAATATAAATACACTTAAAAAGTATAATATTTGTAAAAAAAAAAAATTTAAAAAATTTACTAAATATCAAAAATACCAAAAAATCGAAAATTCAGTACATTTTTTTATTTTTGTGTATTTAAAAAAGTAAAAAAAACTGTTTAAAATTTAAATTTTTTTTAAATACATCTAAGTAATGTGCATCTAAAAAAATAAAAAAAATTGTTTAAAATTTAAAAAATATTCGCTAAAAATAAAAAATACGAAAAATTAAAAATTAAATTTTTAAAAATTAATGTCAATCAGTTTGTTTGATTTGTTTGGTTTTTCTTCTTTCTTTTTTTTTATTCATATTTGTTTGGCTTTTCGCTACTGTCCAGACAAGGATATTTTAGCTAAAAATTAATGTCAGTAGAGAAAATTAATGTCAATCCTTTTTGCTACTGACATTAAAAATTAATCATTTTCGCTCCTGACATTAAAATTTACTAAAATTAAATTAAATTTATAAAATTAATGTCAGTATCAATTTTAAATTTTTTAAAACATTAAAGCACTACCAAGTTACTAAAATATCCTTGTCTGGACAGGTGTTCGCGTTTCATTGGATGTTTATGGTGCACCTCCACGTACGCTAATATCTCAAGAAGTTTCCAAGAAAGAAAAGGATGAGCTCTTTTGAAGTCACCTTGTGAATCATGAGCTTGCCTTGCCTTGCCTTGCCTTGCCTTGCTGTCTATACGTGATAATATATATAACTTGTATCTACCAACATATATGATATATGGGGTGGTACAAAACATATATGACATATGATATATGTACTTGCACTATATATATCTATATTAACCGACTCGAGGAATCTCTACTCTATTGATTAATCTCTATCTCTCAACCTCCACATTCTCTCTCCACCTTTTATATACCTCCCCATCACATTACAGTCACCCCACCTTCATCTCAAACTTTCTCCTCTCTCTCTCTCTCTCTCTCTAAAAGTCTCTGTTTCTCTCTCTAGAAAGAAACCAAAACAGAAAAGATTATGGGTTCTCGCGGTTTTCAACTTCTCTTTCTACTCTCTCTCTTCACCACCTCATGCTTAGCACAAGCCCCTGCTGCTTCTCCAAAGGTTTCACCCACCGCCACACCTACTCCGCCGCCGTCAATTCCTCCTCCTTCTCCTTCTCCTGCTCCTTCTCCTTCTCCTCCTTCTCCGACGCCGGTTACAGCTCCAGTTCCGGCTCCGACCCCGGTGATTCCCTCGCCGGCACCGACTCCGGTTCACACACCAACGCCGTCGCCGTCGCCCTCCCCCGCCAAGACCCCCTCCAAGGCCCCGTCTCCGGCTCCCAGCGTCGCATCGCCGCCGGCTCCGCCCGCCCCCACCCCATCTCCGACGGTGGCGCCCACATCTAGTACCACGCCACCGACAAGTGGTGCGTCCGCTGTGAGCAGAGTCGCTATTGCTGGGACTGCACTCACTGGAACATTCCTTGCCTTGGCTTTCATGTAGAGACAGAGACGTGTTGGGACGCGTGGAGGCTCATTGGATTTAGATCTGTACTTGTATGGACGGATGAGATTGTTTTCCTCTCTGTTTACCTTTTTAGAAGTTTTATTTCAACATTTCTTCTTTTTTCTTTTTCTTTTTCTTTTAATTTATTTTTTTGTTTTTTTAAATCACTGTTGTGTTTTTCTATGTTATTGATCTGTATCTTGGTTTCACATAGGGGTGTATTTGTATTTGTATTTGTTGATGATTATTTTGGTGATACAGGACTCATGTGTTGACACGTGGATACCATAGATGAGTCCCATGTACATGAAATAAATGAATAAATCAGTTCTTATTATGTTTTTTGTTTTGCGATTTACAAATTACAGGAATTTGGTATTTTTGTTTCTCCATATGTGGAGAGAAAATTCGAAAAGCAAAGCTGCATTGTACATAAAATTTCAACTCAAGTATTACATTTTTGTTAAAAAAAGAAAAAAAGAAAAAAAAAAGGTGTTACATTTGATAAGATAGTGTCGCACATTGCTGTATTGAGATATAAATTTAGATAGAGATTTAGGCCTAGTTTGGAAAAATTGAAAAAAGATAAAAAGTCAAAAAAGTCACTACCCTATTTAAGTCACATCATCTTATCACATCACCTCTCTAACACATCACTTCAAACCCAATCCAAATCCAACTCATATTTTACAAAAAATCAAAAAGTGCACTTATTTAGTCTTCCCAAACTAGGCCTTAAATATATATGAATGAATTATTTATTATTTAAAAAAAATTATTTATGAATTTACTCAAAATTATAATTTTACCGTACCTTAGTTAACATTGTAATCTAAAACTTTAGTTGCCGTTTGGTAACACTTACGTTTTCAATTTTTTATTTATATTTACAAAAATTTAAAAAACTCAAATAAAAACTTGTTTGGTAAAATTTTTTATTTATAAATCAGTGGTTTCAGTTTATAATTTTAGCCAAAAAATGAAAACACAAAAAATATGTTTCCATTTTGAGTTTTCAGTTTTTTTTTTTTTAACCACCCAACACTAGCCAAATAATGTTGTTGATGAAGAATAACCATTTCCGTTTAGAAACCATTTCATGAAGAAAAATATCCCAGATCATCATGAAGAAAAATATTGTTGATGAAGAAACCATTTCCTTTTTCATGAAGAAAAATAATGTTGTTGATCTGTTGATGATCTGGCATGTTGTTGATGAAGAAAAATAGTGTTTGACTATGAAGAGAAACCATCAAAATTTTGGAAGGAAACTATTTCAAGCCATTCGAGCAATTGGATATTTCGGCCCTGCAACAGAACTGTTGTATTATTCTCAAGAAAAATGGGTGGGTGCTCGAATTTCGTGGGTCGAAATTTGGGTCGAATTCGAAGAGAGGGAGAGAAGAGAGGAGAAGGAGGAGAGGGAGACGGGGTGCTGGTTCTGCCGACGTCCTCGTCGCCTCGCCGTCCTCGTCGCCTCGCCGTCCTCGCCGCAGCTTCGCCTCTGCCTCTGCCTCGCCGCCACACCTCCGCCCCTGCCTCAGCCCCGAGTTTGTTGGCCCCCTCCCCCCCCCCCCCCCCCCCCCCCCCTCCCCTCCGCCACTGTCACCCACCCACCCGCCACCACCTACCACCTACCACCCACCACCACCACCAGCAGCTACCCACCACCCATCGTCTTTCGCCGCCACTTGCCACCACCGTCTTTCGCCGTCACTTACTACCACTTGCTATTTTTCACTCTTTTTTATATTTTTTAAATTTTGTAAACATTTTGTCAATTACCAAACGCGTTTATAGTTTATGTTTTTCAAAAAATAAACAAAAATCAGTTTATAAATTTTTTGTAAATATAAACTAAAAACGTAAACGTTATCAAACACACAGTAATTTTGTTGAACTTTTTTTCTTAATTTTTTTTATTAAGTCCTTTTTTGTCTGTTATTTCATAAATTAATTTTCGATTTTGTGGTTAACTCGAAAATGGCTCTCTTTACCCTGTTTCGGACTTGGCTATTTTAGTTGGCTTTTTTTATTTTTTTCGTTATTTTAGTTAAAAAAGTTATATTTGAGAAGACAGTTGACTTTTGTTTATAATTGATTTGATAGTTTTGAAAGAAAAATGAAATGATTATGATATAAATGTGATATTTTGTCTTATTAATTATTTAGTCTATTTTATTTTTATTAACTATTTTAGCCTCCAAACCCTTTTTCTAAACAAGGATTGTATCGAATGGGATTAGGTATGTAAATCTATAAATTTATAAGATAGAGTTGCACATTGTTGTATTTAGATTGTAAATTTAGATAGTGATTTAAATATATATATATATATATGAATGAAATATTTATTATTTTTTTAAAAAAAATTATTTATGAATTTACTCAAAATTATAATTTTAACGTAGCTTAATTAACATTGTAATCTAAAACTTAGGAATTAAGTTGAACATTCTTTCTTAATTTTTTTTTTTTTGAAGTCTTTTGTTTGTTTGTTATTTCATAAATTAATTTTCGATTTTGTGGTTAACTTGAAAATGGCTCTCTTGACACTATTTGAGAATTTGGCTATTTTAGATAGTTTTTTAGTTATTTTAGTCTGGTTAAAAAAAATATTTTTGAGAAGATTGTTTTTTGTTTTTTATAGTTGATTTAATAATTATAAGGAAAAAAATAAAATAATTATAGTTTAAATATGATTTTTTATCTTACTGCTTATTTTAATCTATGTTGTCTTTATTAATTATTTTAGCATCTAACCCTCCTCCCAAACAGGAATTGTATAAGATGGAATTAGCAATGTAAATCTATAAACGGTGATGTTACATACATTAATTAGTACATATAACATTATTCATCTATAAATTTATAAGGCTCTATCCTTGAAATTGCAATCAAGTGTCATATTTATTTGAAAATGAATTGGAAGTATGTATTTTACCAAACACGGCCCCAAAGTCAACGATACTGTAGCTCCGTGAAATATGTGAGATGCTCAATTCAATGTCTTGTTTTAAGTTCGCAATATTTTATGTAACAATATAAATTTGGTATATCACCACAAGAATTTACACAATTATCGACCACTTTTACTGATCAAAAAAATTTTGATCGTAAAAAAATAATATTTGACGACTAAATATTAATTAGTCACGAATGATCATTATTTTTGACGACCAAATATTATTGGTCACAAAAAGTTATATTTTGGCAATCAAAAAATGAGTTGGTCGCAGAAAGTGGTATACTTTTGTCGACCAACTACAAATTTGGTTATGGAAGGTCACATAATTTTTGGCGACCAAAAATTTGGACGCCAAAAACTTATTTTCAGCAACCAAAAAAAATTAGTCGTCAAATTAGTACTTTTAACAACTAATATTTTAGTCGCCGTTGATTGAGATTTGGCGACTAAAAAAATTTGTCGGCGAAGGTACTTTTTCTGCGACTAATATGGTCTTTTGGTCTCCAAAAGTTTGGGAGGGAAATTTGATTTTTAGTGGGGGTGGGAATTGAAATTTTTTGGCGACAAATAATTTGGTCGCTAATTTTAAAACGACGTCGTTTTGTACCATGAAATCAGAAAAAAAAATAAATAAATAAAATCAAATAGGTGCCCTCTCTCTTTGTTTCTCGGTCTGCCCTCTCCCTCTCTGTGTTCTTCCTCTCAATCGGTGCCCACTCTTCGCCTCTGGGACCTCTCCACTGGCATCACTGCTCACCGCTTCGTCGGCCACACCAAAGATGTCCTCTCCGTCGCTTTCTCCTTCGATAATTGCCAAATCATCTCTGCTTCCCAAGACCGCTCGATCAAGCTGTGGAACACTTTGGGTGAGTGTAAGTACACGATTCAAGATGGTGATGCTCATTCTGATTGGGTCAGTTGTGTTCGATTTAGCCCTAATAATCTTCAGCCTACGATTGTGTCTTCGTCTTGGGATCGGACTTTGAAGATTTGGAATTTGACCAATTGTAAGATTAGGGCTTCGCTTGCTGGGCATTCTGGGTATATGAATACGGTGGCCGTGTCGCCCGATAGGTCGCTGTGTGCGAGTGGTGGGAAAGATGGAGTTATTTTGTTGTGGGATCTGGCTGAGGGAAAGAAGCTTTACTCGCTCGATTCGAGTTCGATTATTAATGCTCTGTGCTTTAGCCCTAATAGGTACTGGCTTTGTGCTGGTACTGAGGCTAGCATTAAGATTTGGGATTTGGAGAGCAAGACCATTGTTGTGGATCTCAAGGTTGATGCCAAGCAGGAGGTTGAAATGAACGAAGGCGGAGTTGCCGTGTCGTTTGGTGTTAAAAACAAGGTTTAGTATCGTTAATTTAGTATATATGGATTTTGAGTTTTTATTGCTTTTGTGTTTCTTGATATTTCTTGCCACTTAAATGTTTTTTTTTGATGTGTTTGCCAACAGAGGGTGATGTCATTTTGAGTCTCTATTCTTGGATAAGCAACTACACATGCTTTCTTGAATGTGTGAACCTGCTCATTATGTCCGAACATCATAATAGACCACATATGTAAAAAGGTACATTAATATGTGAACATAAATTAAATCTGGTGAAAGAAGATGATAAACCAGGGAAGATATTCAGTTTAGACTTCAATAATGCCAGATCCATGTTTGTTAAAAATATACAACAACTATATTCAATGCCAAACATAATCTTTAACTAGTTTGCTTTGAAGATCAAGAACATCATCAATCTCTTCATTGCTCAATCCTTCTTCACTCACCTTTCCTTGAACCAACGCTGAGTCTTGAAGAGATTGAAAGCAGAATAGGTTCTCTTATAAATGCTGATAGTGTTTCACAATTGAAGAGTGTTGTATGGAAAGAACGGCTGGAAGGTTATTCTCTCTCCATGTCCAATGTTTATACTTAGTTTTCTGATTTCTCTTGAACATGTACCATGAGTTTTGGTGATCATGAAGGGAAGAATGAAAGAGCTTCAAAGTTTATGACGCTGGGTTTACCACTATATGGAACGTCACTTGTGCCATTCCTCGAATTTATGTGCTATGTTATTGCCTATTGAGAAATTGGAAAGTAAGAAAATATTTATTGTGCTGAAGGGCCCACTTCAGGTGAATTGCAAATTTTAGGTCATTTAAAGGGAATGGAGCTTTGATAGTTAATTATGCCTGAATAAGTTCCTGTTAGGTCTTCAATAACTCATCATTTGTAAGATATGCTACCTAGAGAAGTAATTAGTGTCTGATATAACTGCTCAACCTCCAATTAGCAATCATTGAATTGTATTTGTGTTGGAGTAGGATTTGACAATGACACCTAAAAGGAGGATAAAAATTAAAATATTAGTACTTTAATAGTGGAACTATTAAGGTTCTTATCTTTTGGTTGCGCTTACCGAAAAGAAAAAAAAAAATTGCAATGGCATGCTGGCAAAGTATACATTATTGGTTTAGTCTCTTGCCCAAAATTGTCTCCCATGACCTTTTATGTTCAGAGGAGATATGTGTCACATGTCTATATACGGTGCTTGTGGTTTTGTTAGAAGTTTGCATGTTTTGTTTTGGCGTTACTGGTTCAGCAAGTTAACTTCATCTTTTTATATTGATTATAGTATCGTAAAGTGGTTGGACTTTGTCCCCTAATTTTTATGTCTCTTTAATTGCACATAGTTTATACCTTTTTAGTTTTGCACATGTTACAAGTGTTTCACTTCATGCTTGAATGTATAGTGAGTAACCCCCCCTGTTGCTGCAGCCATTGTCTCACTTAAAGAGTAGGCGGAGGGGATACAGGTATTTAACTTTTTTGCTTATCTTACTGGCAAGGTTGTTATGGCTGTTAGCTTATTAATCATCGTGTACTGAAATTTGCAGGTACAACAACAGGTTATTGATGTTGTCACTTACATAGCTTCTACTGCATCCAAGTTTCCAAAAAAATGTGTTGTTCTTTGCCTACATGGTAAGTAATTAGGTTGTTAAACATCCAGGAGTAATGTTGGTTTCTAGGGGCTTGATTGCTCAGCTACTTGTCTCTAACAAATCTGGCTGGATAACTTTTTTGATTAAGTTGCAGTTTTATTATGCCAGCTAGTTGTCTCAATATGATGTACATGTTTATAGGATTTAATTGATTTTTGCAAAGATACGGATTTGCAATCTAGTGTTGCTGCCACTAGAAATGCCACTATTAAACTAATTGGTGCTTTACATAAGTTTGTTGGTCCAGGTAACTTGTCATTTGGTTTGTGAAAACTAGGGATATGTTGAGTTAAGGATAGTAACCGCCGTTAATGATACCTTTAACGACGGTTTTCGTTACCGCCGTTAATAGTACCTTTAACGACGGTTTTCGTTACCGCCGTTAAAAAAATCGCCGTTAATGCCCTGTTTTGGCGTAGTGTGTCTCTAACAAATCTGGCTGGATAACTTTTTTGATTAAGTTGCAGTTTTATTATGTCAACTAGTTGTCTTAATATGATGTACATGTTTATAGGATTTAATTGATTTTTGCAAAGATACGGGTTTGCAATCCAGTGTTGCTGCCACTAGAAATGCCACTATTAAACTAATTGGTGCTTTACATATGTTTGTTGGTCTAGGTAACTTGTCATTTGGTTTGTGAAAACTAGGGGTATGTTGAGTTAAGGATAAGAATTCTAAGATGTACCTGTTGTTGCAGACATCAAGGGATTTCTTTCAGATGTCAAACCTGCTCTTCTAAGTGCACTTGAAGCTGAGTGTGGAAAAAAACCATTTGAGGTATGGTTGAGTTGGGTTCACTATTTTGTTCCTGGTTGTTTCTTATTTTGGGGTTGTTTATAGCTCTAATTGCTTGGTTTTGCATTTATATATAGGATAAATCAGCAGATGTTCGTAAAGCAGCTGAAGTATGTATTGGTGAAATTTTCAGAGTATGTGGTCCTGATACAGTATGTAGACAAAAATTTCTGGTGCCTCATTTGGTTTTTGTCAAAAAACTAGCAGAACTCCTGAGTTTATTGTCTTGTTACATGACTAGGTGACCAAGAATTTGAAAGATATTCAAGGACCTGCCTTAGCTATTGTTCTTAAACGACTGAAGCACTCTGGGGCTTTTCAAGGTATGTTGTAGTGAAGTTTGTTGAGGTTTTATTATCTTTGTTCGGTAGTGTTGTTTCATAGTGACATAATTTTTCTTTGTTCCTAGAAACATTTGAAGTGGCTAAAACAATATCGATGGAGCCGTCATTGAAAAGTGGATCAAAAGTTGCAAAATCTAGCTCTAATGGTAATGGTGACCGACGAGCTGGAAACAGGGCTGTTTCTTCGGTATGTTCTTACCCTGTTTAAGTTATTTTCTTTTTGAACAATGATAAAGATGTTGATTTTTTTCATGGTTTGTGTAGAGAGTAACTTCAACAGAGGGTTCAAGGCCAGAATCAATCATGTCTGTTCACGAACCAAACGAGCATCCTCCCCAACATATTTCTTAACAAGTTTACGAAGCTAAATTGTACAAGACTACTTGGCAGTATAAGCATTTTTGAGAGGATTAAATATTTTTGGATGGATGTGTATGGATAACAAATAGTTATGTTTCAAATTGTTATACTAGATGGATGTGACTAGTGAATGAAAATTTAGTATAGTTGTATTGTGTCGAATGTTAATGAATTATGTATCGTGTCGAATGTTAATGATTCAGTTAATTTAAATGATGCTTTAAAATTATAGGTTTATTATGGGATTGAATGAATTATTAGGAATTACAGGTGTATTGTTTTCCTGCTTTGGCGACCAATTTATTAGTCGCGACAAATAAATAATTTTTTTTCGCAAAAAATGACAACCTCCTTCCCCTCTTTTCTTTTCCATGTTTGGTATCTGAGTCATAGTCCTTTCAACCCATCCAACCAAGAGTTTTGGTCGCAAAAAATACATCTATTGCCGACCAAAACAACACTTGGTCGTGGAATCTCACTTTTGTTGACCAAAAGTTTTGGTCGCGAAAAGTAACAAATGGCGACCAAATTTTTTGGTCGTGGAATGTCACAATTGGCGACCAAACTTTTTGGTCGTTGAATGTGATAATTGGCGACTAAATTTTTTGGTCGTGAAATGTGTCAATTGGCGACTAAGATATTTGGTCGGGAAAATATCACTTTTCGCGACCAAAGTGTTTTAGCGACAAAATGAATTAGTCGCGGTAATTAAATATTTAGCGATCAAAAATTTAGTTGGCAAATCCAACTTTTGCCGACCAACCAAAATTTTAGTCGCGAATTACTTTTGCCGACCCTCAATTGGCAACCAAAGTAGCGACCAAAAAAATTGGTCGTAGATAATTTTTGTCGATCAAAAATGAGTTTTTAGCGACCAATTTTTTGGTTGGCAAAAGTGTTAATTCTTATAGTGTATGTCAGATGTTTAAGAATTATTTGAAGATTTATGATAAATTTTACAAATATAAAGTATAAAACGATAATTTTTTTCATCAATCAATAATTTTTTTTTTTAATTTCACTAAACTGTAATTTTTCAATAATATTTATTCTCTCCTAGCCAGGTATTATTAGTAGAGGCTTAAAGGTGTGCGAAAAAATCATTGAAAAAATTTGGAAAACATGTGTAACACTAAGGTTTGATGGGGGAATGGATTTCACTGAAAAACATGGAGATTGGTCATACAACTTCTATATTTAGGAAAATTATATTTTGCTAAATATAGTAAATACATGTGGAGTCTGAAGTTTGAATTTTATTGATTAAAATAATAAGATTATTATTTTTGCATCTTTTAAGAGACAATTATTAGTGTGTGAACTAAAACAATACTCTTATTTTTACTGCACCTAGCAAACTGGACTACATCTGTACGGAGGCAAACCAACGTGCCTACATAATGGCCAACGTCAGTAACAGCCTGGCCACTCGGAATCAACTTTTTCAATGTTGCACCTTTATGTATTACCAATTAACTGGTACTTAATGCCAGAAGAATTATTTATACCATAATGATAGAGATCCTTTTTAAAGGATTTTCATAATTTTTAAATTGATTTAAATCATTTATAACGTGGATTCCACATATATATGAGTGGACTGCGCACATCATGAATAGTGTGAATCACTTTGGGAGTTGTGAGATCCTTCAAAAAGGGAGTCTCACTCATTTTCCTTATTTATTGGCCTTGTTTTAGAATAGATGATTTTAATAATTTTTTGATTTTTTAGTTAAAATATGAGATAAAAAAATTAAAATAAATTATAAATGTATTCCTAAAGTTTGTTTAAAATACGGATTACTGACTGTAGTTTGAAAAATTACAAATATTCGAAGAAGCGATACATAATTTTCAGAATCATAAGGAG